ACCCATGTCAGCACGCGTTTGAGCGTGTGATCAGTGGCAGTTTCAGCAGCCACATCCCTAGCATTAAGGGGACACTCAGGCAACTCCTGAATGGACAATATGTGTACAGCAGGAGCGGGATCAGGCTCCACAGTAGGCAATGGCAGCCTACTTAAGCCATCAGCATGGCCCATTTCCCTGCCAGGCTTGTGAACCAGTGGTATATCTTGTCGGGCCCTGCGAGGCCGTCCCAGCCGCGTACGGCCTACCTCCCACCACCCCGTTTACCTTGCCCGAGCCGCAGTCCAGGGAAGCCGGCCGACCCGTCGTTCCGGCAATGCCGCCGCAGCTGCCGATGCCGCCGCTCTCCTCTGACGTCATCACCCTGCGCCTCACAGGGCCCGACAGAGGATTTGAGAGGAAGGGGCCGGACGAAGCCTCCGTCCTAGCGCAAAGCGACGGAGGGACGTGCAGAAGGAATGTCCAGCTGATTGCTCGGCTGCGTGATCGAAGGGCGCGGACTGGGTCGGGTCCAGGTGTGGGAGGGCGGATGGTGGCTTAGGATGGTGGCTTGGGAGGCGGGTGGGCCGGGGCGGTGCTACCAAGGGCGGGGCTGGCGTATCCACAAGGGTGGGGCCGGAACACATGCTATGTAAGGCATTGGGAGCAAGCGCCTCCCAGTGCTGACTTTAATCTACATGGAGTGATTAAACTACCATATGTCTAACGTTCCTGCTTGCTGGCTGGTTTGGGAAGCGCCAAGACACGACGGTTTGACAGTAAGTCAGCACTCTCACCCTTATCAATACTTACAGCAAGGGGTGCTTCTCCACGGACCCGGGTCATAGGGCCAGCGTTGCAGCAATGGCAGAGGGAACCCAGGGAGTGGTACCGGTGGAGGATGTTCCAGGGCTGGTGGAAGAGACTGTATTACCCACGGTGGAGCCGGAGGAAGCCGGGGAGGCCCAGCCGGTGGTGAGGCCCAAGGAAAGGGTTCAGCCCGTGGATGTAGGGGGTGAGTCTGCCCTGGGAGCCCCTGCAACAACTTCTGGAGACTGGTGGCTGAGTGCAGCATTGCAACAGCCGGATACCGACGGGCAGCGTGCAGCTGGGGGGGAGGATGCGGTGTATGGTTGGCGGGAGCGAAGGATAACCGGCGATGATGAGGAAGAATGGAGCTATTCCACAGCCCCAGGACAATACACGCTGGACGTCCTGCGGGAGCGGTTTGGAGAAACGGGCTACCTGCCACCTCCGTCTGCTCCCAGTGGCACACCGGGACCGCGGGGCTCGGCTGGTACTAGGTTCCAGTTGGCTAGTCCACGGTTCAAATTACCTCCTAGCGGTGGTCCTGACCAAGGGGGGTTTCCGCTGGGCCGGACATCCACTGCCCAATCCTGGTCCCAAAGAGAGGGTCGGCCGGGTGGGCCCACGGCTGCTGTGCCTACCCGTCAGCCAGCACGCCTGTCCGGGTCATCAGCGGCCTGGGGCCCAGCTCCACGCGGTCGCCGGTCCACTACTGTCGACAGCGGACAGAGGGACGCACAGGCCACGGGCCCCTGGCCAACAGGATTCATGTGGGGGCCACCACCCATTACAGCAACCTTTGACGGTGACCCAGACAGATTAGCGATGTTCTTGGGTCAGGTCCTAAGCCATCTGGACCGCTATACGGAGTTATACTCGTCTCATTGGGCAATGGTGGTAGCCATCACAACGAGCCTTCAAGGAGAGGCTGTGGCATGGGCTGCTGACCTATACAGTGACCATGCCCGAGAGTTAGGAGACGTTGGACTGTTCCTGGAAGCACTGAGAGCCAGGTTCGAGTATCACTCCCAGGTACAGCGTGCTGAGATGGAGGTACTGGGATTGAGGCAGAAAGGCCGGCCCGTCCGGGCATACGTGCGGGAGTTCCAGAAGGCAGCTGGCCGGCTACGTTCATGGCCGGAACGTCTCCTGGTATATCACTTCAGGCAAGGCCTGGATAAAGAGCTACGCCAGGCCTGTGTGGTGAGAGGGGTGTCTTGCCGGCTGTCG